AGAACCCTGAGCAGTGCAGCTGGCTTTGGTGCACAGGGCCTCAGTCTGAGGGGAGCAGGGCTCTACTCACCCAAGTGAATGTTTAGGGAAATCCTGGTCACCTCCTCTGAACTCCCAAGAGTGCTGAGCTATGACCCAGACTCCCTTCAGTCAAACTGATGTGGGGGCAGAAATGAGGGTGAGCACACACTTCATCCCCTGTAGAAGGGCTCCCATAGTGGGTGTGACTACAGTATTCTTCTGTACCAGCACCAAATACCTTAAGTCAGTGGTGCTTAACATTTTGGTTCCCCAGGCCAGATGCATGGTGTGGGACCCATTTGTAGACTGGGTCAGCCCCAGGGGCCTGGCACTTCCCCCGTCCATCCCTTCTGGAATTGGGCCCTGGAGCCTGGTGCTGCCCCCACCCAGGCCTGTGCTCTGGAATCAGGCACTGGATCCAGTGTGCAGGTCCTGGGGCTCTCTCCAGGTCCAGAGATTTAGCAACAGGGTAGTGGTGCCACTGCTCTTCCATTACCAAATTTCTGGCCCTTTGGGGAGCCCTGTGGACCAGATGACACAGTGCTGTGGGCCAGCTCTTGTCCACAGGCCAGAGGTTGAGCATGCCTGTCATTCCTCACTCATTTCTCCAAAATCTCCCCTGATATTGAATCTGCCAGCCATGTTGCCTTTGGTTGATAAAGTGGCATGGAGGACGATGGTTCTCTGCTCCCCTCCCTGTACACCCTTCTTCCCCTCCCTCACCCTGTTGCCAACTCCCTGCTGTTCTCTGGCACCTTCATGCCAAAGGAACCTAGCAGTTCTGGGAGTGACTCCAAGATGGTTTGTATGAGTTTTCCACAGAGACACAGTGGTAGGTGAAGGACAAAAGAGGGAAGGTGGCTGAGGGGAGGCTGCAACAGGGATGTGTCAGTGTCATGCTGTGGCCTCCTGCAGCTGGGTGGAGTGCATCAGAAATGGGTCTTCTCCATTCGGGTGTGGGGCTGATCACATGTTCTGCATCTAAGACTCGGCTGGCTTTCCAGGGAGCACGATGCTGGATGGGATGCTGAGCCCAGCTCCATGTTGCTCCCTGCTGTGAGGTTAATGCAGTAACTGGGCAGCTTTTCCTTTGCAGATGGTCCCTCATCCCCATCCTCTGCACTGGAAATGCAAGACTCTACCTTCTCCTGGTTGTCAGCTAGGGAGGAGCGTGCTGGGCAGCACCCATCCAGAGGGACTCTGCAACTCTTTGTTCAGGACCTGGCAGTGAGAAAGGTGGGGGCGGGGAGTAGGGTATATGGTACGGGGAGCCATCATAGGTCCAAGCTTTAATGTAATGAATCTGCTGCTGCTCATTTCCCCTGGTAGGGGGAGCTGGTTGGGGTTGTTGGAAAGGTCGGCTGTGGAAAGAGCTCTCTGCTGGCAGCAATTACTGGAGAACTCATCAAGTAAGTTGCCAAAAAACTCTTGTGCTGCCCCCCTCACCAGCCCTTACAGCAGCCCTGTTCTGAGGGACACCTAAGGGGCTTGTCCCACTTTCCAGGCACACTCTCCTGAGGAAATTTCACCTTTTCTTTTCTCCCCCTGCTCTGGGCATCATTTGCAGGCTGGGTGGACACGTGTATGTCTGGAATCTAGAGCAAGGGTTTGGCCTGGCCACGCAGGAGCCCTGGATTCAGTTTTGCACTGTCCGTGAGAACATCCTCTTTGGGAAGGAGTACAACGCCAGGCACTACCAGGAGGTGCTAGAGGCCTGTGCACTTTCCGATGACCTGAATGTGAGTGCCCTGGGACAAGAAGGTCCCCCAGCTCTCACAGGCCCTGCCCTGGATCTGAGCCTGAGCCTCTGCCAATCCAGGACAGCACAGAAGAAAAGCAGTTCCCATTTTGCATTTCCCCTGCCTCTTCCTCTTTCCTGAACCATGTAAGCCCTGCCTTTCACACAGCCCAGGTGCTGCTTTGCTGTTAGTGCTGCTTCCTGGCAGACTGAGGCTCTCCCCTCTTGGAGCTGACGGGGCAGTGTTTCAAACTGTTTTCTTTAAGATGTCTCCTGAGGAGTGGGAGCTCTGGATCCCAAGAAAAGGAGAGGTTATTGGGGCTGCCTGTGAGTCCTGTGCATTAAGCATTTATTTTCTCAGTAGCCAGAGCCAGCTGAGACTCTGCTGGAGCAGAGAGCCTGTCCCCATGGTGGGGCCGTGTAGAATGATAGATGGCTTGAGTTTGTGTCCTCCAGTCAGTAAGCGCCGCATTCCAGGCTCCAAGTATGCTGGGTACACTGGCCAGCAAATCTTCCTGCTGTACCAGGGAGGAAGGAAGGGACTTCTGCTCCTATTTTGTAGTCAGGGAAGGAGAGGCACACCGAGGCTGACAGCTTGATTTTCGAGATGCAAAGTGCTGGCAGCTCAATTTGAGCTAGGGGTGCGTGGCATCTCTTACTATCAAGCCAGGCCACTGGGTATTGCCTGAGGTGTCTTAGTGAGTTCATACCAGAGGCAGGCATCAGACCCAGGGATCCTGATTCTGAACCTTCCCCGCTCTCCACCCCAGTCACCCTGCATCTGTGAAGCAACTTTTTAATGGATGCTCTTGTGTGTTTCACTTTCAGATCTTACCAGCAGGAGACCAGACAGAGGTGGGCGAGAATGGTGTGACCCTCAGTGGGGGACAGAAGGCTCGTATTGCCCTGGCTAGAGCTGTTTACCAGGTAAAGGTACAGGAGGCCAGTTGTGGCAGACACAACCCTCAAGTGCAAAGCCAGGACTAGATGCTCACAACAGTTGTTGGTCCAGAAGCACCTCCAACTGGTGGAGGTTGAGACTCCAGGAGCTAGGAACTGCCCCGAGCCAACTGCATCCTTATTTTCAGTGGCATCTAATGACATAGAGCTGGAACAGAAGGAGCTGGGAGCTGTATCACTGTCTCTTCTTCCTCTTGCTCAGGGGAAGGAAATCTATCTCCTTGATGATCCACTGGCAGCGGTTGATGCCGACGTAGCCAATCACCTTATGCAGAAATGCATTCTGGGGATTCTCAAGCACAAAACCAGGATCCTTTGCACCCATCGGACCGAGTTTTTGGAGAAGGCTGACACCTTATTGCTGATGGAGCATGGCAGAATAGCCAAGATAGGTATAGCATCATGCCTTTTGTTGCTTGTGTTTTTGGCTGCAGACCAGGCCTCAGGACTCAGTCCCTCACCGTGTCTGACAGTGATAGTGTATGAGTTTAGAGGGAAACAGATCATGGAAAATCTAAGCTGACAGCTGCAGAGGGGATGGGATTAACTAGGCTGGAATTCATGGAAACATAAGGGTTCAGGAGCACAGCAGATGAGCAGGGAGAATGGGGGTGTGGGAAATGTAGCAGGACAAGGATAAAGCAGGCCAGCTCTGGAGAGAGGCATGAGCAGAGCAGAACAGGGGCAATAGTCATGGGGGTGCACGTGCTGGGTGGGAGGACAGAAGTGCAGAGACAGAACAGAAACGAGCCATCTTGTGCTGAATATCCAAATGGACTCTTCATTCCTTTAGAGCTCCGTGGAATATAAAGCATTCACGCTTCTGTCTTTCTAGGAACCCCATCTGAGATCCTGCCCCTGGTAGAAGCCATCCCCAAGCTCCAGCAGAAGGACAAGAGGAAACAGGATAAAGGTCAATACATGGGGACTTAAGGAGGAGAGAGGGACAGTGTCACTCAGAATAAAATGCTTGGCAGAACCCTCTACTTCCTGCTCTGATCTCCACACAGGAATTCAGGGCACCTAGACTCATGGGATAGGGAGGGAAAGTAGCCAGTAACAGCCAAGGTAGGGAGAGAGGGAGCTGGTTGCTGTGATGTGAGTTGGGATGGGGAGAATACAGCAGTTCTGGGCTCCCCCCTGTGCTTGGTCAGTGAGGGTGCTTCACCTCCCTTTCTTGGGAGAATGAGTCAGATCTCCATGATACATGTGGAAAGAATGTGTGAACATGCAGGCTTCATTGAGCCATCCTGGCCCCTTAGCAATAACCACATCTGCTGAAGTGAGGAAGCGTGACTGATAACTGCTGGACTTGGAAAAGAGTCCCATTCCCACATTCTGTGCATTATTACATAGCTGGCTAGGAGTCTTCTGTATGCTTGGGACCAGAGACAATTCATCCTTCCTCAAGCAGCAGACAATGGCCAGGAAGCCATGTCCTGATTGGCACCATGTGCTGCAGCAGGACCTCCTGACTGAAGTGTACCGGAGCTGCATTGCAAAGAGGAGGGAGAGGGAATAGATCTTTGAGGGGTTCCTCGGAGCAGAGAGTAGCCTTCCCCATGGTTGCAGGGAGAAGGTGCTTCTGTTCCAGGGAACTGTTGGGCCACCTGTTGCTGCATTGATCTGTGCCTTTTACCCACAGCCCCGACTCAACACGGACAGCAGGATGATTTGGAAGCAGAGGTGGAGGAACCAGACCAAGCCACCTGCCTCCTCCAGCGTGAGGAGGAGAAGAAAGAAGGGGCGGTGGCTTTCCAGGTCTACAGAGCCTATTGGCTGGCAGTGGGAAGCTGCCTGGCATTGTCCATCCTCTTCTCCCTGTTCCTGATGCAAGGTAAGGCAGCAGCATGCTCTGCTCTGGGCCTCTGTTTTCACTTCCTGGCTTCATTCAACAGATATGGGGGTGACAGGGTGGGCTTCACCTCCACCTCCCTGCAGGAGGAAAGTCCAGTCCTCCTCATCTTCCGGCTTGAGGCAGAGCAGAGGCCTTATCAGCACTTCCCTGCCCATCATGCAAAGAGCTCTCCATGTGTGTGAGGGTGGGATGTGACACTCTAGTTTGATTCTCTGCTGTGATGTGTGGGGGACATAAGGTGTCTCTATAGAAGACTCTATTTCCTTAGAGGCTTTGGTCTGGCTGGGCCTGATCCTTGGCTCCCAAGGCTGCTGTCCATTCCTCTCTGGCTCCAGTGACCACAGTGGAAAGCGTGTTGAACGCAGAGGCTGGATTGGGCTGGGCAGTGAGGTGGTTAGGCCAGTTCCTCAGCTCCTGTAGTTGGGCTCTCTTCCTGATGCTTCTGCCCCACATTGATTGACACAGTATTTAGCTCTCACCCTGTACTGACATCTCTGTATCCACAGCCTCCAGGAATGTTTCCGATTGGTGGCTGTCGCATTGGATCTCCAACCTGCCCCCCACAGCGAACACCTCTATGAGGGTCCTGTCAGCTCCTCTGCCTTCTCCGCAGCTGTTGCATTTCTCTGCTGTGGGGCTTGTGTGAGTGAGCACTGGTGGGCAAGGGCAGGGAGCAGTGGTCTTCAGTGTTGCTAGGAAAGCCTCTTGCTGGGAAGAGAATAAGCTGGACACCCTTTTGCACAGAGCTTGCTCTGAGAGCAAGACAGGGACAAGAAGATCAGAAGGGATGGAAGGGCACACCACAGGCTTGCCACCTGTGGCAGGAAGGGAGACCCCTGGCTGCACTAGGCTCCAGGCATGGAGAGAGCCTGTGCTCAGGCTGGTGGGATCAATCTGTCCCAGCTTGCAGAGGCTGGTGAACAGTAGGAGAATCTACCCCAGCACGGGACTTAGTAGCCCTCCTGGCTTCTCCATGTCCCTGCTTCCTGCCTGAGGATTTTCTGTCTCAGGGGCTGTAAGGGTTGGCTGTGGTAGAGGATCTTTGAGGCTGCTCCATGTCCTTTCCCTCTCTTCCAGCTTCCCTGTCCCGATGTTGGATGCAGCTCCAGTCCTCCACAACAACACATTGAATGTGAACTTCTACCTAAGTGTGTATGGGGGCATTGCTGGGGCCAACTCCCTCTTCACTATCCTGCGAGCCTTCCTCTTTGCCTATGGCACCATCCGCACTGCTACCATCATTCACAGCCGTTTGCTGCAGAGGGTGACAAAGGTAGCGGTCACAAGGCCAGAGTAGGGAAGGCTGGGGACATGAGAAACCAGTGCCCCAGAGTGCTACCATCACCTCCCAGGGAACCCACCTCATGGCTGCAGTCATGTCCCCACTTTCCCACTCCAAGGTGGCTGCTGGAGCGCCCTGTTGTATGTGTGTGCATGTAGAAAGAGATGGTTGGTAGAGCCCTGTGGCTGCAAGCTGTGTGCGGCTGCTAGAGGTTGGGGTGCCCAGTCCAGCAGAGGAGGGGTCTCCGTCTTAGATACAGGTTGGGAGTTCCTTCCCTGTCTGTGTCCAGTCCTGCCTCTCTCCAGCACTGCTCTAAATGGTGGCTGCTTGCTGAGCTGCCTGCCAGCTGAGATATATGCCCAGGGTACCCTTGTCCATCAGGGAGAGTCCCTGGGCCAACACAGTATGGCTCTTACTGCTCCATTTCCCACGTTGGCAGGCCACGATGACATTCTTTGACACCACGCCAACAGGCCGAATCCTGAACCGGTTCTCTTCAGATCTGTACTGCATAGATGACAGCTTGCCCTTCATCCTCAACATCTTTCTGGCCAATGTCTATGGGCTGCTGGGCATGCTGGTGATGATCACCTATGGGCTGCCCTGGATTGGCCTTGTCCTGTTGCCATTGACTGCCCTCTACTTCTCCATCCAACGCTATTACCGGCGTACCTCCCGCGAGCTCAAGCGCCTCTATAGCCTCACCCTGTCCCCCATCTACACGCACTTCTCAGAGACCCTGACAGGCCTGAGTACCATCAGAGCCATGCGGGCCACTGACAGGTGAGTGCTGCTCCTCAAATGGGAGGGAACTGGCACCCAGAAAGCCCAGCACTTTGGCTCTCATTAGAAGCAAAGGAGGTTCTGGTCCTGGGGCCAGTCTGGATGGCAGGTGTGGGCAGTGACCATAAGCCAAAGGGAGAAGTGGTGGCTTTGATGATAACATTTGCATTGTGCTTGGCCCAGGTTTGAGGCAGAGAATCAGCTGCGACTGGAGCAGAACCAGCGGTGTTTCTTTGCCAGCAACACCGCGATGCAGTGGCTGGACATCCGCTTGCAGATGATTGGAGTTGTTGTAGTTACAGCAATAGCAGTTATTGCCATCATTGAACACCAAAGACACTTGGAAAATCCAGGTGGGTTGCGTGAGAGTGAGCTCAAAGCTGCCTGCTCCCCACACATGGCCAGTGCCTCGCAATTCTGCATCTTCTAGCTGAGAGCTGCAGTTATTTCCACCTGCCCCAGTGGGGTCTGCTCAACCCCTTCCCCTTACCCTGGAGGTGTCTTTTCCTGCCCTATCCTTCCCTCCCATAGAGCTGGGTGACCAGCTTGTCTCCTTTCCTCTGTGTCTTGGCACAGCTTAGTTCTGTGACCCCAGCATTCCTCCAGCCTTAATGTGTCTGCTGTATTCATAGATTCATAGATGCTAGGGTCAGAAGGGACCTCAGTGGATCATCGAGTCTGACCTCTTGCCCACGGCAGGAAAAAGTGCTGGGGTCATGTGACCCCAGCCAGGTGCTTTTCCAGTCTCCTCTTGAAGACCCCCAAGGTAGGGAAGAGCACCAATTTCCTTGGAAGCCCATTCCAAATTCTGGCAACCCTAACCGTGAAGAATTTCTTTCTGATGTCCAACCTGAATCTACTCTCTCAGCCTTTGGCCATTGTTCATGGTTATTCCAAGGGGTGCCCTGGTAAACAGAGCATCTCCTATTCCCTGCTGCCCTGCCTGGTGAGTTTGTATACTGCCACAAGATCCTCCCTCAGCCTTCTCTTGCGGAGGTTGAAAAGGTCCAGGTCCCTCAGTCTTTCCTCATAGGGCCTTCCCTGCAGGCCTCTAACCATATGACTGGCCCTCCTTTGGAGCCCTCTCAAGGTTGTCCACATCGCTCTTGAATTGTGGTGCCCAGAACTGGATGCAGTACTCCAGCTGCAGCCTGACCAGTGCCGCATAGAGAGGAAGCATCACCTCCCTAGACCTGTTTGTGATGCACCTACTAATGCGTGACAAAGTGCAGTTAGCTCTGCTAATTACTTCGTTACATTGATGACTCATATTCATCTTGGAGTTGACAACAACTCCAAGATCTCTTTCTGCCTCTGTGCTGCTGAGAAGGTCATCCCCCAGCCTATAGGTGTGCTAGTGATTCCCCCTCCCTAGGTGAAGCACCTTGCACTTGTCCTTGTTGAACTGCATCCTGTTGTTCCCTGCCCACTTCTCTAATCTGTCCAGGTCTGCCTGGATTCGGTTTCTTCCCATCGGTGTGTTTACTTCACCCCATAGTTTTGTGTCATCAGCGAATTTGGACAGAGTGCTTTCCACACCTTCATCCAGGTCGCTGATGAAGATACTGAACAGCAATATCAGTGAGTTACAAAGGACTGGAAGGGGCCTTCTGGACCACTGAGTCCACTCACCTGCATTTGCGGGCAGGCAACCATTAGTTCAAATGAGTTCACAAGATTCTCCCGTGACCCCTTTGGTATACCATGGTCACAAACTTGCCATAGGTAAACAGCAGGGAAGACAAGGGCACTTCTAATGGCATGTCACTGAAATAGCAGGGAGTTTGTTAGGTTGAAACAGTCTGGCCTGGTAGAAAATTCCTTCTTGGCCCCAAATCCAATGATCAGTTTGACGGTGAGCACATGAGGAAAGACCCAAGAGCCAGATGCTGGAGAGCTTTGTAAGCACTATTATGGACACTGGTGAACCCCACCAGTCTCCAGCTGCTAGCTACTGCCAATGTCTAGTGCTTCTGAGGAAGACCCCCAAAAAAACCCCCAAACCCTCCAAGAAACCCATACCAGAAGCCAAGTAATGCATTAATGGGAAGAAACAAAGTCCTCCCTCCTGAGCACTGCAGATGGCCAGCAAAACCCCTGACATTTGGGAAAACCATGTCGCCTGCTCTCATTATTACTCTAAGGACACCCTGTCCTCATACTGTCCCTCTCTTGTCCTCTCAGGACTTGTGGGCCTGGCCCTCTCATATGCACTGTCTGTCACAAACCTGCTCTCAGGCCTCATCTCCAGCTTCACTCAAACAGAGACCATGATGGTGAGTGTAGAGCGAACAGAGGAGTACACCACAGAAATCCCCATGGAGCCCCAGGAGCACTTGGTCCAGGTAACAGCTTGCACTCTGCTCTCTGAGTTTGGTCTGTGACATATCTCCAGGCTCTGTGCCTGGCATTGCACCCTCTTCTGCCTCTTTGTGTGTCCCCTGGGGCCCTGTTGTGCCAGCATTGCAGATGGGATTACAGGGATCCAGTGAACAGGTGCTGGGAACTGCTGGCCTGACTTGTAAGGACTTCTCAGAATAGTTGCCCTTTGCTAGTATGTCCCTACAGGACTTCTCAGGCAGGTTTTGCTGAAGGAAGGGCTGATGGAGATGGACAGGGAACTGAGGGGTTAGGATTTAAGAGGAGTGGGAGACAGGATGTGGTTGAAAGGCCCAAGGAGGGGCATAATGAAGCTGGCATGGAAGTGGGCAGAAGGTGAGCCAGAGTTGGTCTGAGGCTGAGTCCCCAAGAAAGGGGTGGCTGGGAGGTGAAAGCAGGGCACAGTTAGCATGAAAGGTAGAAGACAGGGCATCCTGTGACTGTGATCATGTTTCTATCTCATTCTCTTTTGTCCTTGAGGTGCCCCCTGACTGGCCAAGCCAGGGCCATGTGGAGTTCCAGCAGGTGGTTCTGGAATATCGGCCAGGGCTGCCTCATGCCCTGGATGGGGTGACCTTCACTGTCTATTCTGGAGAGAAGGTGGGGATTGTGGGGCGCACAGGATCTGGCAAATCTACCCTTTTCTTGGCACTTTTCCGCATGTTGGAGCTGAAGTCGGGGCAGATCCTCTTGGACAATGTTGACAGCCGATTGGTGGGCCTGGAGGAGCTGAGGTAGGATGGGCAGAGCTGGGGGATGAGCAGATAGCACTAAGGGCCCAGCAAGGTGATGTTTCCCTAGGGATGGGACTCGGGCCTTAATGGATACCATGCCCCAGAGGACTCTGGTGCTAGTGGCTACCAGTGACATGGCTGAAGGAGTGAGTGAAGGTCCCTGCATGCCCAGTCATGTCTGGAGATGGCAGGTTCTGTGCACCACTTCTCTGGTTGTGTGGGCTGAGGCTCCCATGCTGAGTGCAGCCTAACCCAATTTGTGTGTAGCACAGATGTACCTTATGTACAACACCCTATTGTGGAGAGCAACCTTTGGGAGTGAGAACAGAGTTGGGGGGTGAGTCTTGCTTTGGAGGAAACTCTCCTTGTTCACACCCCATCTCTTCCTGCCTCATCTATCCTTCCTCTGTAGGTCTAAACTGGCCATAATTCCTCAGGACCCATTTCTGTTCAGCGGAACAATCCGGGAGAACCTGGACCCCCTGGGGCGACATGCAGACTCAGATCTGTACCAGGTGCTGGAGCAGTGCCACTTACAGGAGGTGATTGTACAGATGGGTGAGTTTAGTGCTGTCAGGAGGCAGGGAGGCTCTGGCAGTGGGAAGGGGAGGCCCTGAGAAAGCTGGTGTGCTGGAGTGGGGTAGCCAAGGGTCTTGTGGGATCCAGCAACATCTGTCATGGAAAAGTGAGGCCCCACTGGATTCCAATGGGAGTGGTAGATGAAGCCCCCATGCAATCCTATGAGGGCCAGTAGGAAGGTGAGGAGGTGAGAGATTCTGTGGGGGTAGAGAACTAGATCTCAGAAGGCTCTGGGATCTCCCAGAAGGGACCAAAAATAATCTTGTGGTAGGATATTAGGTCCCAGTTAGATTCAGTCAGGCTGTGGAAGCTGTACACCATGATTCCAGCAGAAGGCATGCAGTGTTTGTAGCAGAGGTAGCCTGCAGCCATATCTAAAAGTCCAGGCACCCAAGGGCTTGGCCTGGGGCTGAGCAGAGATAGGTTTCAGGCCTTTACTGCCAGGTTCCTAACCCAGGCTTTGTGGCATTACTGCTGCCTTTACCTCTGCAGGTGGATTGGACTGTGAGCTGGGGGAGAGAGGAAAGAGCCTGTCAGTGGGACAGAGGCAGCTTGTGTGTCTGGCAAGAGCCCTCCTGACCCAGGCCAAGGTAAGTGCTGCTGACTCCTGCTCAGAGCGGGGAAGTCTTGCTTGGGAGGGCACATACCTGTTGCTGATGGTGGGTGAGAAGGGCAGGATGAGGAGGAGATGCAATGCCCTGATTAGGGAACAGGTGTTGTGGCTGAGAGCTGTGGTTTGCACTGCCCCCACAGCCCATCTCTGGCACAGGACCCAGGGCATTTGGGAGATCTTTGCTCTCTGTCTTGGGCAGGTACTGTGCATTGATGAGGCCACAGCCAGTGTGGACCAGAAGACAGATCAACTTCTACAGCAAACCATCCGCCAGCGCTTCACTGACAAGACTGTGCTCACAATTGCTCACAGGTACAGAGAGCTTTTTCCCATACCAAGAGCCAACTAGTGTGTGGAGGGAAAAGGGGGTGGCAGGCTAATTTTTCAATTCACCTAGCTTAGCCCCAGCGTCACCCACTCCCTGGGCCTTCTATACCAGACTTTCCACTCTGACCATGCCTCCACCCCTTATGTCACTAGTCAGGGCCTGTTATGGTACTGGTCAGGGCCAGGTTCTCAGCATTGCCTGCTGCCCCAGCTGTGAGCTGAACAGTGAAGTCAGTATTTGGGCAGCTTACCCAGTATTTGCCCATCTTGATCTTTCAAGGGCAGGGGACTGCCAGGAACCTCTCTATTTGCTTTTGCTGCTCCATAGTGAGGTACCTGTTGACTGTCCCCCTATAGCCTTTGCCTCAGTGCCTCAGGCTCCTGCAGCATCCAGGCCGTGGAAACCATCATGCCCTGATAGGCAACAGGATTATGTTTGCTTTGGAAGGTGGCTGGTAGAAACCTAGAAAGCTCTATGCCAACCAAATTGCTGGAACCTGTCTGATAGGGGAAGGGGAGCTCCTACATCTCACCAAGTGGTGCAAGAGTTAATGCAACCTGTGAAGATACAAAGGGGTTAGAAAGATCCAATATGAGAGGCTGACCCCTGCATTCAGGGACCCCTGCCATCCTGGGGAGTGAAGACTGAACAAAAATTGGAGCCTGTCTTGATCAGCAGAGGGCACTGCAGGACAGCCAGAGAGATGAAAGCTGCAACTTGGCTGTGGGGGTGGGGATTATTCTTTTCTGCAGTGCCTGGGAACTGCGGCCATGGACTAGGACCCCACTGGGCCAGGCAGAGAGAGCAAGGAGATAGTCTATACTCCATGGAGTTTACAGCCTATGCATGAGACAGAGACAAGGATATGGTCAGACAGGGCACTGGTTAGCCTCGTTGGCAGCAGTTTCGGCACACCGGTGACATAACACAGGAGAGCTTTAAGGAAGGTTTTGGAAGAGGACAGAGAGGAGCCTTTTCACCTGTTTAGGGGCTGCTTCCAATGTGAAGGACAGCCTCAGGAAAAGCACAAACAAAGATGCTTGTTTGGTATCAATCAAAGAGGTGACAGAGGCTGGCACTGCAGGAGGGAGAAGTAGAGCTCTCCATGGTGAGTGAAAGGATGAAGTAAGGTAGAAGTCGACCTCTCCATGGTGAGTGAAAGGATGAAGTAAGGGGAGGCTCTGAACAGCTTAGAAACTGAAGACAAGCAGCTTCTGTATGATGCAGTGGGCATGAGGTGGGAGCAAAAGGAGGGTAAGGTTTTGTCTCAGCTTTGGGAAAGGATCCTGGCAGCAGCATTGTGGGCAGATGCAGCAGGACAGGGTTGCATTTGTCAAGGCCCCAAATAAGAAGATTTTAGTAATTGCAAGGTGAGATGACAAAGAATTAGCTGTGTGGAGGGAGAGGAAAGGCTGCATCTCAGAGGTGTTACATGGAAAAAAATCTGCAAGATTTAGGCACTGCCTGGATGCGAGGAGAGAGAAAGGTCTAAGTCCAAGACAGTGACAAGCCTGAATGATGGCAGGATGGCAGTGTAGGCCACAGAGAGGGAGAAAGGGTAGTGGAAACAGCTTGTGGGGAGGGAATTTAGAGTTGGCTTTTAGCCATGTTGAGCTTGGATTTCAGCAAGGAGCTGTCAGACAGGGTAGGATTTTAGCTGGGGGAGAAGGAGCAGTTTGGAGCAGAGGAAGAGCCATGAGCTGTCCTTGCAGTGAAGGTAGTTGACTTCATGCCTGCAGATGTGGTAAGGTACAGAAGGGGACTGAGGAGAGACCCATAAAACCTTCCTAGGAAGCTGGGGGAAGAGGATCCTCTGAGGGAGCAGTCAGAGGTAGGAGGAGACCAGGAGAGGCCAGAGTCACAAAGCCCAGGGCGGACAGGTTCCCAAAAGAACATGGCCACCCATGTCAGCAGCAGCTCCAACCCCATTACCTTTAGGATAAAATTATCTGTGAGAATGGGAGTGGTGAGCAGGAGACTACCTCCCAGTATGGACCCATCACTCACCCACACTAAGCAGTGTCAGGCTAGGCTAAGCCATTACGGGTCCCATCAAAGTAGAGGAATCCATGTCAGTCAGACTTGGGCATTCTTATTAGCATGTCTGTACTGCCTCTTGCACCCCATCCTGCAGGTCACTGTGAAACCAAGGCCCCAATACCTGTACCCATGTGGAGATCTACAGTGCCTTCTGTAAGAGCTGGGCCATGAGCTGGTCTTCTGGCCATAGTCCTGTGCTGTGATTTCATGCTACCAAAAAACAATAGAAGTGGATGGATTCAGTCTCCCATCCCCTGTGGGAGGTGGGCTGAGCTTAATCTCCTCATTTAAAAAGGGGACATTCAGGATAAACCAAAATAACTCACTCAAATTCAGGAAGCCAGCTGGTGGCAGGGCCAGGAAGGAAACCCAGGTATCGTGACTTATAGTCCCTTTTCCCCCCCTGCTAGAAACATTGCCTCCCTTTTTCTTTCCTATCCCATTGCATAGTGTTACTTTAGCAACATGTTGTTCTTCCCCAGAAACAACTGTTTCAGTGGTGATGACTGAGCAGTCTCTGCTTAGATAGTCTGCCAAGTGACCCAGGAGGTGTGCCGAAGGGCTCCATAGAAATGGGTGCTCCATGAGAGAGCAGTATTTGGTGCTTCTCCCAATCCCCAGACTGCCCCAGTCCCCTATTGCATTTGCTCTTGCCAGGCTGAACACCATCTTGGACTCAGACCGTGTTCTGGTGATGCATGCTGGGAAGGTGGCAGAGCTGGATTCACCTGATGTCCTCAGCAAGAGGGAGGACTCCTTATTCCAGCGACTTCTACACAGTGGGCAGCAGTGATTTCCCCACAGAGTCTGAGACCAGGAACCACCCTCCCTAGCTGCCCTCTTGTCCCTCTGCATGCCAGCACCATGGCTGGCATGCTTCCCTAGCCCAGCACGCTGATGGGAGCAGCCGTCCACATCCTACAGGCCCAAAAGCTTCTGTGGGATGCTGCTGTTTCATCAAGAACTAGGAAGGGTGGGGCCTGCTCATAGTGGAGCTTGTTTCAGGCCAGGAAGGCAGGGAACCATCTCCTAGTCCCTGATGGAGTTGGGCAAGGACTTGCTGGGTTAGGAGTCACAGGGGGGGAGCCATGCTCCTGGCCCAAGGGTGCCCCCTCTTTGTAGTGGTGATGGTGTCTCCGGAGCTGTCCCTGCCGAGGACTCAAATAAAGTGATTTTAAAATGTAAACATGCTTTTTTCAGAGTCTCTCCTGCAGCCCAGGTCTTCACTGCTGTCCCTGCAGCGCCTCTCAGGTCTGGGGGGACAGGCTCCCCCTACTTCCTTGTGCTCTTAAGCTGCCGTGTCCTCACCTGCCTCTTCAGACCAGCCCAGGGCAGCAGCTGGAAGCCCTGGTTCCTCCATCTCTTCAGCTCCCTATAGCATAAGGCCTTGGGCCTGAAGTCCTTCCCCACCCTCCTTCACCTCATGTGTTCAGCACAACCCTCCTGGACAAAACAGTAGGGGGTTAGGGGGGGAATCTGAGATACTGTGTGGCCACAGGGGAACATCACACCTGCAATTATGTAAGGGCCTCCAGAAGCTTGTCCAGGCAGCCCCTGTCCAGGGTAGATCTGCCATCCTTCCCCCTGTACCCCGCAAGGTGCACAAGACACTATCACAGCTTCCTGGGCTGATACTCCTCAGCACTGCCTGGACCCCAGCCATACCTGGATTTCTCTCATGGGGGGTTTGGAACCTGCCAGCCTGGGGAGCAGCAATTTGCACCTGGCTCCGGAAGGAGTAAAGCTCAGCTTCAAAACCACATCTCCTGCACAGCTGGGTCGGCCTGCAGTGAGCAGCCCACTCCTCCCATCATTCCGCTCACTGGCAGCTGCTGCTGCTGCTTCTGTAGCTTTCAATAGCCCTTTCCTTTCTCCAATTCCTCTCCTGCTGCAGGCAGTCAGGCCACAGGAGTTAGCTCTGCGTTTCCCACCTGCCCCCACAAGGCCCTTCCCTTTCTCCCCAGCACTCTGAGGAAGTCCCAAAGCACCAGCAGCTGTCTTGAGACACAGGGGCTCCTTTCCCTCCCTTAAGACTGCAGGATCCCGCTGCCCCAGCCCTGCCTGTGCACTGACCAGAGGCTCAGGTCGTAACCCAGCCTCTTGACATCAGGTGGCCTCTCTCATGCATGTTGGCACTAAGCCGCTCTTAAGCACAGCCACAAGCCCAAAGGCCACACTTGAAGCATGCTGCTGGCGGCAGGGATGAGAGGAGTTATAGGAGAGCTGCTTTGGCAAAGATTTGGGGGGAGAATGGACTAGGGGAGACAGGAAAACAGCTCCACTATGGAAGGGGTCTGCCAAGTAGCTGATGCTTGGCACTCTGAGGGCAGGGGACACTGGCTCTGGTGTTTCATTTGTTTTATTTGATAAAGTTACATCATCCATCCTTGTATTAAAAAAATAATCTTTCTGGTAAAGCCCCTGTCCCCTCTCCCCACAGTCTGTTTGCCTGCTCTGCTTCTTCCTCCATGTGGAAACCTCACTCTTGCCTGCTATCTGGTTTCTCAGCCCTGGAAGTGACATGGTCTCTGCATCCCTCTGAATACAGCATGGGAGACTCCCTCCACCCTGTGTGAGGCTTTGCTCTAATGCTTCCTCCCTCTCCCCCCAGCACACACCTTGGAGGCACAAAGAGCCTTGTCCCCCTGTGGAGGGTTTCAATTCTCTAACTGGAGCAGTCCAGGCTCAGTGGATCAAACTAGGCAAGAAATGCCTTAGGTACATGCCCCACTCTCTTAGAATCAGAACCTGTGGTAGAGGTGATATCTTTTATTAGACATCTAGATATTTGCAGAAAAAAAATCTTTATTCTTTATTTATTCATATGAATTTTAATTTCTACCTAGAGGAAATTTTACAATCTTTGCATTTTCCTAAGCCTGAGGAAGGGTGTGTGCGCCCAAAAGCTTGCAAATAAAGAATTGTTTTGCAAATATCTAATTGGTCTAATAAAAGATATCACCTCTGCCATGAGCGCTGATTCCTTTTGCCTATAGACCAATACAGCTACAACCTATATCCCACTCTCTTAGATGCCTTTGACGGGCTTCAAACTGAAAGGTGCGGTCACGGCAACTTTGAAGGCAATGCCACCTCTTTGTTCCCCAGGGCTATCCCAGGCTCTGGATTTAATCTCTAACCTCCTTTGCATCCTGTGCGGAAGGCCTAGTCTTTAAGTGTTCCCATGCCTGGTTGTAGGTTACTCCTGGGAGCATGGTTTGAGAGGGGGAAGTGATGAACTGGAACCAGGCTCACCACCAAACCAGCCCCAGCTCCCTTCCAGCCTTCTCCACATCCAGTTCCACCTGAAGGCACCTGTGGGGAGGGCAAACCTGGTCCTCATCAAGCCTGGAGGGAGCTGGCTTTGCATTTGCAGCACGTCTGGCTCTGTCTCTTCCCATCAGTGGGCAGTGAGGTGGAAATGCATGCTGAGGCAGGGAGGGAGCTTCATGAATTGCCATCCAAACTAGATGGGACGGGTTGATAAAGGGGGGGAAAGTCACATGGATCATGGAGGGAGGGAGGTACAAAACATGCTCGCAACCCCTAGGCCAATAGCAAGAGGGAGGGACATTGTATTGAGCCAAGAAAGGGCACGATGGAGTATTGAACGGTCCCCCGAGTTCCTCCAAACTGGCTCCCCACAAGGCCACAGAGGCAGATGGCTGGTTTGCTTCCAGGAGAGGTAGAAGCTGACATGGACAAACTATGACCTGCAGAAAGAGCTGGGAGCCCCAGGGGACTCCAGAGCAGAGCACATGGAGAAGCAACAGGTCCAGAGGCCCTAGCAGGGGCTGTGGTCCAGGTCCAGAGGCCCCAGCAAGGGCTGTGGCAAGGGACCACCCAGTGCAGAAAGCTGTGCCCTGCCCCTGCTCTGGCACTGCCAACCTGAGTCCCAGGAGCTTGGTTCAGTGCATAGAAGATGGTACCAGTGTCCCTTGGTGCTAGCTGCCAAAATCAGCATGCTGCTGCTTCCCATGGTGGGCTTTTCTGGTGCAACCCTTTTGACTCCCATGGATGCTCAAGGTGCCTAGATGATGAAAATAAGATTAGATGCAGCCAGGATGTCATACCAGGTTGAAGAGCTGTGGTTTCAGATAAGGATTTGCTGTCCATAGGAATGCTTCCCTACTGAATCACAGATCAGTTTGCACCAGAGACCTTTAGTGCTTTGGAAATATTCAACCAGAATGGCTCCCAGGGCATGATTCGAAGGGTTTGTTGGCATGGTGACCTGCCAGGGCCCAACTCTGAGAATGCCAGAGTCCTCACAGCTCTGTAGTCTTCCTGGGCTCTATCAGGACTGCATTTAACATGCCCACTTGACACTCTTGCTCCTGTAGCTTCCTTGCAGACTGTGAGGGGCTTTGGCACCAGTTGGATCTCCGGCGCCCTCTCTGCCAGTTCCTCAGAATTAACAATACAGTGACCAGGACCAGCACAGCAGTGAGCACCCCAAACACCAGCACTGTCACCAGCTGGGCCTCACTCAGCCCTGAGTCCCGTTGGGTCACCACCTCTTTGACAGAGATTTTCAACAACCCACTTTCACTGGCTTTTTCGCTGTGGTTGGTGCTCCGCCTCCCAGTAACCACAGTTCTGACAGGCTCAGGCTGAGTAACCCAGGGGTACTCACTGGTTGTGCTTCTCCCAGGATCGTTGTCCTCCCTGTCAGCTGGATGGTAGAAGGTGATCCAGGTTGGTTCTGCAGTGGCAACCTCACAAGTTTTACCAGTGAAACCATCTGGACACAAGCAGTCAAAATCATTGAAGCGGTCATAGCACTTTGCTCTGTTCTTGCATGGCTGGCTGGCACAGTCATCAATGTTAACAGTGCAGAAACGCCCTTCAAAGCCTGCTGGGCACTGGCAAGAGAAGCGGTTGATACCATCGTGGCAGGTGGCACCGTTGGCACAGGGGCGCATCAGGCAGTCATCTATGTTATTCTCGCAGCGGGCACCAACAAAGCCAGCCAGGCACTTGCAGGTGAAATTACTAGCAAAGCCATTTTCATCCTGGCACTGCCCACCATTCCTGCATGGAAACCTGCAAGGGGAAAGCAAGGAAAGGTCATGGACTGGGGCTGAACACAGCCTAAGCCCCAGAGGGGCATGCATCCAGCATAAAATACCCCTCTGGACTTAAGAGTTCCCAGACTTTGCACTGGTGGGGGGCAGGAAGTAGGGGTAAGTTCACCTTCAGTGATCAGGGGAGAAAAAAGGGCAGGTGTTTGGGTCCTTCCTACCTGAAAGAGAAAAAAGTCCATCCCCCCAACCAAAGATTCCCTAAACATGGACATAGGACACACTTGCTCCTCCCAGTGATATCAGTGTTCAGAGTAGCTGAGGTACAGTCACATTTTCCATAATGAACAGACCAACCCTTAAAACAGGAAAGGGTGGCTCCCAACAGGTCTCCATGAGCACGAAATGGATGCATCCCCTGTACCCAGGGACAGGAATCAGCTCTGAACAAGAGCCCAGACTCTACCTAACACAGGACCAAAGCTCAGGATGGTTTGAGCTTAACTTCATGCTGCACCACTGATTGGTAGAGTAGGATCCAGAGCTAATGCTCTATATAATCTCCCTGCCTGCTCTACCCCATCTCTGCTGCTATATCTCACCCTGCCTTCTCACATGGCCCTATCTTCATCTCACAGTCCTTTCCATGGAAGCCCTCGGGGCACAGGCAGGAGTACTCCCCATCTCGGTCGTAGATGCACTGGGCTCCATTCTGGCATGGAGGCTGGTGCTCACAGATGTGTATATCTGAGGGAAGAAAAAGAGGAGGCAGTTGTGAGAGATGAGCCCAATGCAAATTCTCCAACCTGCCCTGTTGGAGAAAAGCTAGAGCAACAGCAGCAGCTGCTTCCACCCAAATAACAACAGTGGCTTTGGCTAGCACGCATGCGGCTTGCTTCAGCTGCGGCTGTCACAGTGCTTTCATGTTAGTCCCCCTGGCAGGGATGCAGAGTTGTAGAGAAGGGAAAGCCCTTAGCTGCTCCGAGCACCACAGAAAGGCTGACATATAATGGCACACAGCATGCTGGAGACCCTGGTTAGCCTAGATCAGCTCTGCAGGGAAACTGCTTCCCCTCCATCCTGGACACTTGCTTCCATTTGGAAGCGCACAAGGGGATCCCACCCCGCTGACTGTTGAAGGCAGGAAGTGCTGGGGGAAGCAGGAGGCTCAGCAGACTGCTCGCTGTAGCGTGGGAAAGGCAGCAAATATTGCCCATCGCCCTTCTGCAGGTCAGCCGGCCTTCTAGCATCCCCAGCTTTGCCAACTGGGATCAGATCCCGGCAGCCTGACCTTCTGCCACATAAAGGGAAGGAGTGGGCTGAAGCTGTGACAGAAAGATGACACCTCATCCCCCCAGGGAGCCAGCACAGGCATCACAATGAGAAACAGGTGGCCACCAAACCACTGCTAGCAGACACAGCACCACCCTTCCATTTAGGGCGTGCAGCCCTAACCGTGAAAGGATGAAAACTACCATCTTGTGGAGATAAATCTTGGGCACCTGGATGGAAACCTGGCCCCTCCAGCCCCTGTGCCCTCCACATTCCCCCACCCAGTGTCACAGGGCAGTTGGGCAGCACCTCAGCTTCTCTCCACCTGGAGCTGCTTCCACCCAACAAGCTGGTCCTCACAGCCCCCTAGGCTGAACCTCAAGCCCATCCCTGATCCAGCTGGTGAGACCTACCTTTGTCACAGAATTTTCCTGCCCAGCCATTGTGACAGATGCACTGCCAAGGCTGGTGGCACGTCCCATGGAGGCAGCCTGGCATCCGCACACACTTCTCGCAGTACTCACCCTCCCAGCCTGGGTCACACCTGAAGGAGGAAAAAGGAAGGTTAGTCAGAGCCTTCCCAGCAACAGCACAGCAGAGCAGAATGAGATTACATAACCATTTACAGAATGCTGCCTTCATGCCAATATCCTAGCACGGGAAAGTGCATAGGGCTGGAGCAATCCTCTCAGAGAATCCCATGGACGCAGAAACATACTTCTCCTGGGAAACCACCTAAGCCAACAGAGGAAGCTGAGGGAATAGATGCTGTCTACCCCCTGGTCCCAGTGCCTTGTTCGGAGTATCCATCAAGTGCCGCTCCCAGATTAGCATTCTCTCATAAAACCCACTGCTGGGGAAGCTGCAGTCAGCTTTCCCTGTCTTTTTGTCATCAAAGCCCCTTCCCAACATTTTACTCCTTAATCCTCTCAGATGGAGGACAGAAAGCAGAGAGAGGGAACTGGAGGAGCAAGAGGGATGCTGAGATACAGCTCATGCCAAAACCCAAGAGTTGTGGCTCAACAGCCTTGATTTTAAATGCTAGTCTGCACGTTTCTTTTCCCCTGAGTTTAGACAGCCAGAAAATTCCTGCACCCTTTCAGCCAGGCAGACAGATGAAGGGGCAGGGAGCAGATACCTCTCTTTGTACTACTAAAGTGTGTCTGTATTCTTCTTTAACTGAGAAAACTGGAGTATGCGCAATAATCCAGATGTGAAGCCACATACAGCATTCCAGAGGTGGTCCATTTATGGAATCACCATAGTTACAAGGTAACCATAAGAGTTATGGGAAAGCAGTCACTGAAGCACACAGCAGGATGTTGGCCCTAATGGAACAGTGGCTGGTGATTATAAGAAATGCAAAGCTGTTTCTGGGCTGGACAATCCCTGCCTTCCCAGAGGGGAAAGAGGAAGTGTTAAGAGCACCCAGGTAGAAGCAGAACTGAGCTGAGCTGAGGTGACAGAGAGGTAGAGATGTAAGAATCAGGACTCAAAACCATCACTAAATTAAAGCTCACAAAGGCAATGCCACCCCCACAATCTCAAGACTCCAGAAAGATGGCAGCTCTGAACTTCTCTTCTCTGGAGCAGAGAATGATACAGCAAGATAGTGAAAGTCCTGAAGCAGCACAGGCTAGGTGAAAAGGCTCTGCAGGCCTCAACGATTTTGAAAAGGAGCTGCCAGGCTCCTGAAGGCTTCAAAGAAGAAGCTGAAGACTCCAGACTGAAAGTTGTAGCCAACAGTCCAGAATGAAAGTATTAACCAGCAATATGGCCACCATACAGAAGAGCGCAGCATCTCTAATTTGGCCTCGCCACCCTAAAACACCCCCAGAAACCAAATTGCTTCACTGTCTACAGAAATGAGCTATCTTGTAGATATTAGTATTTGGGCAACACCTGGTTTCTATCACTAACATGAAGAGCCAGTTACAAAGAGTTTGCAATCCAAAGGAGCTTACTGCTTTCTAGGCATGCAATGCTGTCTGGGGAGCTGCCACGTGGTTTATCTGAGGTCCTTCTAGGACATGCATCCCCATCGTATCTGAGCACTAAAGATCTCTCTTGCATGGGCCCACTTGGCCCTTACAGAACTGTGCCAGTTGGTTGGTTTCAGACTTGATCTAAAGGCAAGGTCTGTAGAACAGAAGGGCACAGGAACCAAACTTTCCCACTGGGAAGGTGTCTACTCAATATGGGGGAGCATCTGACTCTGGGAACCTAGATGAGCTGAGTGGGATAACACTATCAGCACTCTTCAGCTTAAATAGGGATTTGGAGGTTATGGGGAATTAGTCAGAGGTACTGAGAGATCAGCTGTCCTGGCCATGACTGCTGTTCAACTGGAGACCCAAACATCATACCTGCACTTGCCATCCTGGTCACAGCACCCGTGCGCCAGGTTACAGTGCTCACTGCAGTCATCACCTGCAAGACAGGGCACAGACAATTTACTACACAAGGAGGGCATGCTAATATCAAGCTGTGCACACGAGCTCCAGGACTCCAGAACTGCCCATGCCAAGGGCTCCTGTTCACTCAAATCAGCCTACATTGGAGCCCACTGAACCAGGCAGCCCTGTTTTCCCTTAAAGTCATCAATTTCCTCCTCCTCTGCTTATTTCCCACTGCTTTTCATTATGTCACTGAGGCCTTTTAAAAAATGCCAGGTACCCCACCCCACAGGGTCTGATGGCTTTACAAGAGAACACACCATGGGGGAAAAGAACTGAATGTAAAGAACAAATCAGTGCTTGTAGCACAGTTGCACTTGGGAACTCAGGCCTCTTGTGTCAGGTATGGTACACACAAGACAGTCCCTGCTACAGTTAGCTCAGAAATTAGGGTTATGACACAGGTAGTGGATAAAATGCTGGGCCTGGAGTTACAAACCTACCCATGTGCATCGAGACTCTCCATACTCTCCTTATCGTGACCACTCTTCATACATCACTTACATTTGATCAGAGATTTCTCTGGACAGAGACCCTGTATACAGTTTGTATTTACAATGTCCAACACAACAGGGCCTAGCCTTCAGTTGCAGCTCTGGATGATACTGTAATACAGTAAATAACCAGGCTGTTTATCTATGGGGCTCAAGGAGGCCCACTCACTTTTCTGGTGATCTAGACACCAAAGAAGCGAGAGGCTCATAAGCATCTCTGATGAAAACTAAGTTTCCCTAGGAGGATATGAGATAAGCAGGTGAGAGATGGGTTAGTAAGTACTAGCTCTCTCCCCAAAGTGTCTCTGCCTCTAGAAGACAGCTGCTTTTTGAGAGAGTCACTCATCCAGAGCTGTTAGAGTCGCTGTGACCTGGCTGCAAGCATAAGCGTAAGGTAAGAGTGTGGGATAATAGCCTGACAGGTGTTAAATTCTGTTTATTTATTTAAACGCCCCAAAGGCTGTAACTGAGCTGTGGCCTGGCTCTGCTGCCTCTCATCCCCATGCTAGCCCAGCACTGGCCTGTTTTCTCCAGTCGGGTGTCTTCTTTCATGTCCAGCTTTCTGTCTTCCTGCATGCTGATCACTTATTGCCCTCAGCCTCTCTGTCTCAGGGCATCAGCTCTCTCTTCCCTGTAGAGTCCCGGCACTGAGAACAGTTGGCTTTGCAGGGATCAGAAGGGGCCACTAGGCCTAGTTCAGGGCTCTCAGTCCCACATTATCTTAGCAACTAGGCCAGTGAGGAGGCTTCACTTAGAGAGACAGGAGCATGGAGAAGACCGCTTCTCCACCTGTAGCCTGTCCAGCAGGTGTCACTGCACACTGGAAATATGAGTGAGATTCAAAGTGAGTGGAAGAGCATGGGTACAGTGGGAGTGCAGCAGCCACCTTCATGACATCAAGCTATTATCTGGAAGGCTGAGCATCCTTTAGTCCCAGTCCCAGACTGGTAGATGGTGAATTATTAGCAAATGGAGTCCATCCTCCAGGCCCATGCAGGGTGTAGTCTCATCAGTGGAGCTCAAAGCAGGCTGTCAGAGACTTTCTAAGCAACATTACATACAGTAGAAAAAGGAAGGGAGGATGGGGTATTCTTGTGTTTGCACCTTAAAGTCCTTCACTGCAAGTGAGAGACAGACTCCTGTGGCCAAAATCAGAACTAGAAACCCCCAGAACATGCCATGGATAATATAGAGAAGCATTGTGGATCAGGTCAGCCCATGATTGAGTACTGCTTTCTTTCATGTCTACAAGCAATTCTGCTGTGGTAGGTGCTTTGTGACTCTACCATTTAGTCACATTGGGAAGGGATCTCCATTCCCAGGTTCCAAGCTGGCCTTTTGGACTCTTCCTGTCCTTCCCTGCCTCTTGGGAATGTCACATTTATTAGCATAATCTAAGACTTCTGGCACAGAGCCAGTGAGCCTGCAGCCCAAAAGAATCTCCTTTCTTACTGCCTGTCCAGCCCTGTGCCGACAGGAACCTCATGAAATTTGGGGCAAAGGACCCTTTCTGATTGCAACCTCACAAAATGCCTGAGAAGCAGGTCCTGTATTCTTTCAAGCAATGATAGCTTTTCTTTTACTGGACAGTGGTGATTTGAGGAGACCTCATGATCACCCACGTAGGTTTGGGAGGATGGAAACTGGAAAATAACACATTTCTGCCAAATCTCACCTTGGGCAAGCTGGTGATGGGCCAAGAGGATCCAAACCAAGGACATGAGCTGAAGACAGCAGCTCCTGAGCATGGTCAGTGTGGCCCCACCGAGAGAAACACCTAAAGGTACATAAAAAACATGATCAGAAATGCCCTAAGCTCACTACACCGCAGCTCTGCTAGGTTCACTTCACACCTCCCCATTTCTCCATTGTCCCAATGTTTCTAGTTCTGTGATTGCTTAAACTGTATAAGGGCTGTCTACTTGTGACATTCTCAGTGCCTCTTTTGGATATGCTCTTGCTCAGGATCCTTTCTGTACTACAGACATCCATAGCTGAACAGTCCTTTTAAACATATATGACAGAAGTATAAAGCTGAATATGAGGATTGGCAGTAATGCTAGAGTTCAGACCACCTCCTGGCTCCATCATGGGTTAGGAGAGTGTGAACCCCCATTCTGATATTGTCTTCAATCAATCAATCAATCAATCAATCAGTCTGTGTATTTCAGCCTAATATCCACTTCCCCCTTTCCCATCTTTGTTAAATACTGAGACCTCCTACATGACTCCACCAGTGCATCTCAACTGTAGTCTACTGATTTCTAAGGTGCCCAGGGAAAGACAATCTCCTGCTTTGCCAAGAGAATCCCCTGCTTTCCTCCAGGATCAGTGCTCTCGGCTGTGCAGCTGGTGACTTGGTATCCTCTGACTAGGCAGTGAGCTGCAGCTAGCAAACCTAAAACTGGTAGCTAAATTCAGAAGCTCCTTCTGTCTCTATTAGATTCAAGGGGGCAGGGATCAGGGCAAGTCCCTGCATCTCCAGCAGGCAGTAAATGCCACACAGAACATCACTTTGCAGTGCATGGGTGTGCAGCAAAGGCCCTTAGACATAGGACTGAAGCTTAAAGGAGCAAAAGCAAATATGTCCCTCCTACCTAACCTCCACCTAACCCGCCTCATTCAGGGTGCCAACATTCCTCAGCCCAGGTGTTTTCTAGACACTGCCTGTCCTCCTGGAGCATTTGTACTCCTGGAAAATACTTTGTTCCCTCATTGCCTGCTTGAGTATATTCTGGCTCTTAAGAACATGAAGTTCTAGGGCAAGATCACTCAGGGAAAATACTGTAATGAGCGATGAAGCAACCGCCCATGAAGAATAGTGAACGGGGAATGGAGCAAGCTTTATCCAAATGTGTGAGTGTTACCAGCAAGGGGCTGTTCCACATGAAGATGGGATCTCAACCTACGCAGTCAGACTGGGCCAATATTTAAAAGCAGGATGTGAAGAAAAGACAGGCACTTGCTCCGGGAAGTGCTGCAGGCAGGGGCTGGTTGTCTGTCTGGGTCTGGACTGGCCCAAATGATGCTGCCAGAAGCACCTTTCCAATGACTAAATCAAGCTCTTATCACCTGGGGTCATGAAAGATCATGGGGCCTTTCTGACAGTCATCACCCTGTGGGCTGTCGGCCCCACTGTCCTGGCCACAGGCCATCTCAGCCAGTCCCTTTCTACCACCCCAAACCCCACACACCGCTAGGGATGAACACAGGGCTTTCCTTCACTTCCTGTCCTAAACCTGCGCAGTGCTAGGGCGGACCGCCTGACAGCTGCTGCCTTCCAGGAGCGGGTGAAGCGATTCCTGCGAATCTTCTAAAATAATTTAGGGATTAGGGCTGAACAGTTGGCATCCTCCTCCTCCTCCTCCTGCCAGGAGCTCAGCCTCGAGCTGCCACCCAGGTGTCATTGCAAAGGTCATTTCCCCCTAGGCTTGGGCAGGGGCTGTGAGGCTCAGCGCTTGGGCCAGCACCTCCTGCTCTAGCTAACAGGATGCCCTCAGCCCTGAGGGGCTCGAGGGCGCTCAGCACCAGCCCCGGGGCAGGAGGTGTGCATGACCGCCCAGAGCCAGGGCATGGGGGTGCCTTGTCCTTCGCATCCCCGTGTCCGGGGGCGGTCACCAGCCCCTCCTGGTGGCTGGACCACAGCTCAGGGCTTTTCTGGGGCTGGGACTCCCGAACCGACCCCCCCGCCCCTTGCCCCGGGGGATGCGCTGGGAGAAGCGCCGGCCCC